TTTTTTGTATGTATGTGTATGTATGGTATGTGTGGGTGCATGTATGTGCATGCAGGTTGTATATACATAGGCCTAACGTTGACACTGGGTGTCTTCCTTGATTGACCTCCACTTTATTTACTGAGGTAGAGTCACTTGCTGAACCCAAAGATTACTCATTCGCTTAGTGGAGATAGCCAGCTTTGTTCCAGGGATTCCCTGTCTCCTGAGTGCTGGATGACAGGCAGCCTGCCATGCCTGCTTGGCTTTTATGTGAATTCAGGGCATCTGAACTCTGGTCCTCATGCTTGTGTGGCAAGCACTTTATCCACTGAGCCATCTTCCTAGTCCTTTCTTTTTCTTTTTAAAAAATTATTTACTTATTTTAAATTATTTTATGTAAATGAGAGTATATTGCCTGCATATAGGAAGGTGTACCCCTGTCATGTAATGCCCGTGGAGGTCAGAAGAAGGCATCGGATTCCCTGAAACTGGAGTTATAGACAGTTGTTAGCTGCCATGTGGATGCTGGAATTTGAACCTGGGTCCTCTGCGAGAGCAGCCAGAGCTCTTAACCACTGAGCCATCTCTCCTGTTCCTCTTTTTCATTTTTTGAGACAGAGTTTTACTCTGTAGTCCATGATGACTTGGAACTGACTATGTAGAGCAGGCTAGCCTCAAACTCATACCAATCTTTCTGCCTCTGCCTTCTGAGAAAAGGGATTACAAATGAGAGCCATCGCCATCAACTAGAAGAAACATTCTTAACTTCATCAGAATAAGTCAACATCATTGGTATGAGTTTCCATAGATAGTTTTATACATTTAAAAACACTTTCTTATATTTTTACACTTTTCTTTACATTTTGTGGTTGATTCCCTGAAAAGAATTTAAGTGTATTATTTTCAGCTCTTCTTCCAATTAGGGTAGAAGATCCTGTGACATGGGATATTTGTTTTGCTGTAAGGAGTGAAGGTTCTGAAAAACACAGTTGTCGGAGGGATGGGTCCCTTCTGAGGCCTCAAGCCCAGTAGTTTTCAGGGATGATGGCTACAGCTCTGCTACTGAGTTCTAGACCAGGAACACAGAAAAGTCCCTGAGCTCTCAGTGGCCAGCAAATTACCTGGTTCGACCATGACCTGGATATTTGTTTTCAGAGAATCCCCATTTTGAAAGACAATTGCCATTGCGACAGTGCTGGGAGGGGAGACCTTTAAGAGGCTCAAGAGGCTCTCTGTCTCTCTCTGTCTG